TATAAATTATATACTTAATTATATATATAATTTAATTGTATATGTATATTTTTTTCCAGTTTTAATTTGAATTTTGAACAAAACTTGATTTAAGATTTAATTGAAAATTTAAAAAAAAAATATCAATTTTTCTTTCATATAAGAATATTTACCATTGATGTTTTTCGATGTAAAAGAAATACTAATTTTGGCATTAAAATATGCAAAAAAATAAATGATAGTATACAGCTTGTTGTCAACTTCGAGAGTATTACATGACCAATGTATGAACTGGCAAAATTTTCACCGTAACATTTTGTATTGATGATAATATAATCCCAAAAATGATTGCTAAAGAATATTTTTTACTATTAAATTTAAATCAATGAAATGAATAGAAATTCCAAAGCCAGTACCAATCTTAAATTTGAAATTTTAAAAGTTTTAATATTATGCAAATTTTAATTTTTCTTTTTAATAACATAATGAAATAAATTCTCCTGAAGCTTATACCTATGTGAAAATTGAAAAATCAAGCGTAATAATATTTTAGGCTTATCATTTATCATTAACTGATACCGTAAATGATTATTGAAATAACTTTAAATTTGAAATCATAATATCATAGGTCAACTAGCAGAGACTTACATCGCTAAAAAGGAATAATCAAAATTATCTGGTACTGGTCCTAAATTGAAGAAATGCTTGAACTCTCGAACTGATGATTCGGCAATATTTTTAGGAAGTTGAGTGATTTTCATGATCAATGACTGAATCATTGTCTCAACTAATTGATAAGTTATCAATCCAATATCAACGATGATATCTTTGAAATCACGCAAATATATTTGTAAAACTTTCATTATCCATTTACTTCGTAGTAATTCTTCCGTGCTGTTGCACATTTTTGCCTTAATTTTACAAAGTTTTCTTCTTTTATAATTAATACGGCAACAATAATAGTAACAATAATATAATAATAATAATAATAATAATAATAATAATAATAATAATAATAATAATAATAATAATAATAATAATAATAATAATAATAATAATAATAATAATAATAATAATAATAATAATAATAATAATAATAATAATAATAATAATAATAATAATAATAATAATAATAATAATAATAA